TGAGATGACAACATTTTGGAATGGTTTAATGCAAAGTAAGATTAATTTGGTGTAAGGAACCAGAGTGGTGGGCCCATTGTCACTCCAAAGCCTCACTGTTCCTGTAGGAGAAATCTCAGGGGCTTCAGTCAGTGCTTGCAGGAGCAGGAGGAATGTCAGCCTTGCCTGCCCTGGTGGCTCTGATGGGGCTCCCCACTGTTTTCAGACTGGAGTTTGGCAAATGTACATCAGGCACTGGCCTCAGCACCAGAGCACATCCCTGCCATGATCAGCTCAGGGGAGCACAGCCAGGCTTGGGGCTGGCTCCAGCAGGGAAGGCTCAGAGGGGCCATCATCCCATCCCCTGTGAGAGGAAGGGGCTCCTTGGTCCTTCCACAGGGAGAGGAGAGGGCTGAACCCCAGCTGTGCATAGTGTTCTTTACCCATGGCCCTGGAACACCAACACCAGTACCCAGATTCCAGCAGCAGCCAGGGACTTTTCTGAATTAATTCCTCCTTTGTTTTCCTCTCTCAAGTCTTGATCTTGGCTTAAGCGCTGGCTGGCTGCAGGCCCTGCTGGGAGACCAAAGTCAATTACCTTGATGCCTCAGATTGAATTGTGCCTGGAGAGCAGCCAGCACCACGGGCTCCTGCCCCAGAGCCCAGCACAGGGACAGGGCACAGCCTGGCACAGCTCCTCTGCTAAGCTGCAGATGCTGGTCCAGGCTCAGGTGATCCGGCTGTCCCCCAAGCGTTCTGCTTTCATTCGCATTCAGAGTGCTTCAGCAGCCTTTTTCCCAATGTCAAGACTGTTAATAACAAAAAGCCCAGCGGTGTGCAGCTGTGTAAATCAGAAAGGAGAAATGCTCCATTGGAAAAGGCATTTCAGTAAGAACAAACCCTTTGTTCCTGGGGGAGCTGCGGAGCTGCACAGCCAGGGGAGCCTGGGTGGGGTGGGGACAGTCACCTCCCTGTGCCCCATCCAGGCCTGTCCAGGTGCCAGGCAGGAGATGCTGACATTGTCCTTCCTGGGATACTGGGAGGCAGAACAGGACTTTGCAGTGCTGCACAGGGGAGGAAGGGAGATGCATGCCTGAAGCTCGATTCTGAGCTGGCTCAGAAGCATTGGCCACTCTCAAACGCTGGCCCCAGCAGGAGGGGGAAGCCCCTGGGAGATGCAGAGCCCCCCCAACCTGCCAAGATGCACTTAATGCGTGAAGATCACAGGAGACACCTTGTGCCACCTCCCTGCCCCCAGCAAATGTACAAGCTCCAGAATCAGTGCCCAAACATGAGGAGGAAGAACGGAGAAGCAACAGCCCCAGCAGCAATGAGGCTTTGTCAGGTGAGAATGACCACTGGAACCTGCAACATGACCACTTGCACCACTGCAGTGCAGCTGGGGACGTGTGCTCCTGTCCACAGGCACAGGCTGGGAACTTTCTCAGCATTCCCAAGCAAAACTGCTCACTCCCTCCGTGACTGTTGAGACAAAACCTGCTCCTGTCCTCCCTGCAGCTCTCACAGACTTGGCAGGGAAGAAAAATCCTTGGAACCAACAGCAGAAGCCTGGAGGTTTTTGTTCTTCTGCCCCGAGGTTGCGCAGCTCCTCTCTGAGGGGTTCTGTCAGAATTTGCCCCCATCTTGCCACAGAGGCAAAAAGCTAAAGAAGGCAAAATAAAGGTACCAGCCCTGGGTTTGTATCCCAAATGGGCTGTTTTAAACAGAAATTGAAGCCCAGGATGGAAAAGCTCCAAAACAAACCAATTAACTACCTAGTGAATAATTCATAAGACAAACAGTATTTCTTTTCTGCCCAAAATAAATGCAAATGTTTTATGATCTCCTCGAGCCTGTTTGTTACCTGAAAATCTCCCCCAGCTCCTTCCTGGCAGGTGAGTCTGGGCTGTGGTTGCAGGTCAGCAGCAGATAAGGATGTCTGGACTGTTCTGGCTGGTTTGGTCAGGGTGTTCAGACCTCCCAGCTGAGAGCTGCTCCATGACCTGACCCCCTTTTTAACCCATCATTTTAAATACATTTAGAAATTCAAGATGGTCTTTCTGCACAAAACCCTAAACCATCATTGACCATCTGTGTTTCCACAGTAACTCAGCGAGCACCTCCTACAGATTCAGGCTGGGAGCTGCCCCAGCACCAGCATCCCATGGCAGCAGCAGTGCCAGGCATCAGGGTGAAATAGCCCAGGGGGACATCCCCTCCTACACTGCAATCCATGGAGCTCTGACAGGCTCCCAAGGGTGACATGGATTTGACAGGTCCCCAGAGCAGTCAGGACACGACTTTGAGCCCTCTAATGGTTTGCAGCTCTCAGCAGAAACTGATTGATTTGCAACCGAGGGCTTTAGCCAGGGACACGTTCAGTGCAATAGAGTAATTGCAGAGAGCAGATTAGCACTGTGAGATAATGATCTTTTCGCCTGCTTTTCTTAGCCTGCCTCATCCATTGCTGTCCTGCGTAGGATTAGCATATGCCTCGTTTTGGAGCAGACATTCTGGCTTTAAAACCCAGCCCTTCGGATAATGGCTAAATGAAGACAGATAACAGCAGCCTCTGCCCTGGCACGGTGCTGCTGAGCCTGCTGAGATCCATAAATGGGGTGCTTGCTCCACTCCAGGCAGGCAGAGGGGTTTTTGGTGGCCAGAGGCAGCTGCCTGGAATTTCTCATGGAGATAAAGCCATCATGCATGCGGACGTGCTCGCAGGAAGTGTGTGAGCTGGCTTTTCTCCAGCCTTTGTGGGGCTGGATAGCAGGGTCACAGGAGAAAGTCTGCTCCTGCAGCAGGAAAGGGCTGCTGGGGGTACAGAGCAGATTTCTGCAGCCGGGAATGGCTGTGGGGAGCAGTGCTGCAGGATCTGTGGACAAGCTGCGTGAGAATTGACACCTAATTTAGAGCAGATGGATGCCAGCATCACCTAAGCCTCCAGAGCATCTGTCCCTCCTGTGGCCAGTCTGTGCTGGGGGGAACAGCACTCTCCTCCACACAGGGAGAGGACAGCAGCACCCCAAGAGCTCAGCCAGTGCCATGGAGCGAGGTGACAATGGGGACAGCCGTGCTCAGAGCACTCACAGCGAGCCACGAGCAGTAACAGGGTCATGCCCAGCCTATTATTATTAATGCATTAATATGGTGATTTTATACACACAAACCCAAGGGGTGTGGGTGGGCAGCAGGAGGAACAAGCAGGGTTACAATATCCCCCGGTTATTCCTGCTCTGTGAGGAGTAAATGGATGGATTCCTGCACAGCCCAGGCAGCTGGAGGGGCTGGGCAAGGAGGGCTCCCACCTGCCCAGGCTGCAGCAGGGGAGGGTGAGGGCTGTGAAGGGTTAGGACAGGCACTGCAGGACACCAAGGCTTTAACTGCACCACAATTGAGCGTGGTGGGATGCAGAAGAAGGAATGTTAAAAATGTTACAGTTGACCAAATACCCACTGAATTAGGGATGCAAAAAAAGGGCTTTGTCCATGAGGCTGTGGAGGGGAGAGCTGAAGCAGAGGTGCTGAGGATTAACAAAGCTCTGGCAGAGGCTGCTGGGGTGTTACTGCAGGTTAGCAGGTTTCCAGCAGCAGCAGGAAAACAGAACTGGAGGAATTAATGAGCTGGATGGCTCATTAAGAAATTTCTCATTGAGAAAGTGCTAAAATCCACCAGGACAGGAGGCAGCAGGAGAATCCCAAACAAATCCACCATGATTACATCTGTGAGACCACGGCTGGAACTGTGTGAAGGAAGGACTGTAGAGAGGGCTGAGGCTTTGAGACCTTGCAGGAGATGAAACACAGCAGGCAAAGCAGCTCAGCTTCATCAGTCTCGGGGGAAAAAGGGATGGATGCAGGGGCAGGAAAGCTGACCCACAGAGTCCTGGCCCCACTGTGCCAGACAGTCTCTGCCAAGTACTGCTCCTGACTAATTAACTCCAAACTCAATCCTAACTCTGTCCTGTTGAATTCAAAATGGGAGGAGAGGAGAAGACAAGGCTTGGAATTTATCTGTGAGATCTCTGCCTCTCAGCTGTCCTTCCCCATGGGGCAGGGGAGAGCTGGGTGCAGGAGGCAGTGACACCGAGGATGCCCTGGAGACACACACAACTACCTGCCTTTGAGTCTGTCAGGGACACGTCCCAGCTTGTTAAAAACCTGAGCAAAGACCAAGGGAAGATCTCCTTAGGATCTTGTGGCTGCTGTGCCGGGCACCAAGGAAGTGAAGAAAGATCTTAGTGTACTGCTGACACTTTTCCTGGAGGGTTTGGGACCCATGAGGGGTGAGGAGGGGTGGCAGGGCCTGACCACGGGGACTGATTATCAGAACCAGCACTGCACTACACAACAACCAGCAGAGGATGGGGGATGATAACATAGGGGGCTCAGGAGGGCGTGCCAAGGTGTGCTCTGGGGGCTGAAGGGGAGGATAAAGGGGGCAGCTACTGGGCCAGGGACACACAGTCATCTGTGCTCACACTGAGCCTGACACCTCCTTCCCATCATTTCCACTTTATTCAACAATCCTGCCTGGCTTGACAAGTTCCACAAGTGCTACTAATGCATGAAACCTCCCAGTCCCTTCCAGTAGGTGCACCCAGCCCAGGTAAGGCCATGCACTGCTCCTCTCCAGCCCTGAGCAGAGGTGAGGTGCTGTCCTGCCTCCAAAGGGCCCTGCTACCTGCCTGGCCTGTGTCACCCCCATCTGCCCCAAGGACCCTGCTTGAACCATTAGATGGATGTTTGGGTCCACCATGCCTTCCCTGTGGCCCTGGGTCATGGCCAGAAAGCCACCATGCCTGCCCTGTGGCCATCAGCAGCAATCCCTGCCTGTATGGCACAAGGAGTCAGAGCAGCAGGGGAGATGCTGCAGACCCCGGTGTGAAAGGGGTTTTGCAGTCTCTAGGAATCCCCAAACAGATTATCCAGCACACAGCTGTGACGTGAATCCCCTCAAAGGCTGGCCCCAATCCCCCAGCCTCATCTCCACCCCTCTGCCTCCACGGCACCTGTGCCTACCTTGGCATCCAGGATGCTCGTCTCCACACGGGCCACGCCCTGGTTCTCCCTGAACAGCTGGATCTTGCTGACCTTGCTGAACTCTGACAGCACCGTGGTGAGGTTGGTCTTCAGGTCAATGACGTGGCTGATGCCGTGCCGGGGTCCCACCAGCAGGGTGGTGGCTGGCTGCTTCTCATCCTGCTGGCACAGGCACACGGGGAGAGAGACACACGGGGTGAACAAACACACCCCAGGGTGGCACAGCCTGCACCTGGCTCTCCCCATGGAGCCAAGCCCCAATGCTGGCAGCCTGGTCAGGTCCAGGATGGTTTTTGAAGAGCAGTAGGTAAGGCTGGTGCCATCAACCAGGCTCTCTGAGCCCCTCTGCAGAGCTGGGAGTGGTGTGCAGGATGTCAGGGCTATTTAAAAGTAAAGCTCTGAACTGACTGTCCACATGAAACATTCAGGCTCACCGGTGTCACTACACTGAAGTAAGTGTGTTACAAATCTGTCTGATCTGACATTGCCTCCCAGAGAAGGAAGCAAAGGAGGGAGTGAATGTATTTCAGAAAAGAAGAAAGACCAAAACCTTGACTGGAAATCAAGATGTTTCTGCTCTGGTCTAAAAGGATGCTCCAAGCCAGGTGTGGAGGTGAAGAGGAGCTGGGCAGACCATTGCAGAAGATGATAAGGGAATACTTTTTACCATTTCAACAAAGTTCAGCACACAGGCTGGCTCAGAGGCTTTGCTTTGGTGTCAGAGATTAAAAAAACCTGCTGTCTACTCAGGCAGTGTCAGGAGCAGGCTGTGACTGACACCACGAGGTTGTGCCTGCACTGGTCTCCTGCAGGCAGCCCTTTGAGCTGTGAGGTGAGGGGCAGAGCAGAGCAAAGGCTGCCAGAGATGGAACCCAGGAAAAGCACAGGAAGGCAGGGAAGTGCTGATACCATGGGTGGGGGTAAAGGGAAGGATGGCAGAGGTGACACCTCCATGGGGACCTCAGGGTGGTTGGTGGAGTGGAGGGATGAAGGGGGAGCCAGGCAGTGGGGAGCCTTTGTGGGTCCTGTTTGGGCTGGTGGCTTTCCTCCTGCTGAGGTGCTTTGGGTGAGGAGTGAAGGATCACTGTGGCAGTGATCAGGCTGGAGCACCTGTGCCAGAGGCAGCAGGCCCAGCCAGGGCTGTGTGGGCAAGCAGGGAACACTCCTTAGCCAGGAGCTGCCCTCCTCCAGGATGGATGGCAGGATGTGCCAGGGCACGACGGAGCTACAAACACATGCCCACTCCTACTTCACTGAGAGGCTCATCTTGCTGCCCCACAGGCTGGCAAGAACAGAGCAGATCCTGACCCTGCCGACCTGGAAATCCCACCTGCTGACAGCAGAGGCTCTGAAGGCTTTTCTGGGTGGGCTTGGAGCTCAGCAGGGCAGAGCAAGAGACTGAGGGAAGTGATTTCTGTGGGAGCCACATGCCTCTGGCTCCCCCCCAGCACACAGTCAGGAGCAGGCACCTCCCAGCCCAGCCTGAATTACCGTACCAGTCCCACTGTGTTGAAGAGAACCCCAGCAAAGGTCGGCAGCTCGTTCAGGATCCTCAGGTACTGCAGCTTTGCCTGGGCTGTGGAGACCTGACAAAACATCACACAGGTGAGCACAGGGGGAAGAGATGCAGGAGTCTGGGGCAGACCTGGGGGCTCTCAAGTATGGGTGCACAGCAAGTTATCAGGCAGCTCTGGGCATGGGCTGTGCTGGCAGCAAGTCTGTGGGTGAGGGGGGGTCTCCTCTCCCCTGCCATCCTGGGCAGCTGTTGGGAGGTAACTCCAGGAAGGAGCCCCAGTGCTTGATGTCTAACCCCCCCTTGGGATGCACAACCCTCCCTGGGGAGCTGTGAAGGCTGCAGGGACCAGGGTGATGGCTCAGCAGCTGCCTCCAGAGCTTTCCAAGCCCAGATAACAATGAACTGAGGTGTGCCAGCCACTTCAGCCAAGCTTCAGATGATCTCAGCCCTGATCCTCCCCGCACTCCCTGCAATCCAGATCAGCTCTTGAAAGAGGATTCAGGAGAGAGAGAGTGTCTACTTGGCTGCCTGGGATTTATCTCCCATCCCAGGGGATTTAATAGCAAGGGTCTCTGAGTAGCTGGGGACAGCAGGCTGGGGTGGAGGGCAGGCTGAGCCTGAACAGGCACTGAGTGCTGGGCTCACCTTGGTGCCGCCAGGCTGGTGCTGGTGGGCTTTGAGCTGCTGCGAGAGGGATTTCCGGAGGCTCTTCTCTTTGATGAGCTGCAGGAGCGAGGGGGGCAGGAAGGGCTCCAGGCCCCACTCCTTCCTGTGGGGAGGGAAGCCTGCATGAGCTGCCAGGTGGGACACACTGCCAGTGGGCAGAGAGGGACAGAACACTGTCCCAGAGCACCCTGTTGCCATCAGACGGAACTGGAGCCACACCAGCACTTCCTTGGTGCCACAGCCAGAGCGGAAGCAGCCCCCAGCTCGGGTCCCCAAGGGGATGGGACCCCAGGCTGGTGACACAGCTACCAGCATCAGGCTGGGGAACAGCAGCTCTGCAGCAGACCCCAGCTCCCACTCACCTTCATGTAAGCTTAGGGGATGCAGGGCAAATTCCCAAACTTCATTTGGGGTCCTCTCAGGGTGACCCCTCCCTCCTTCCTCCCTGTGCTGACTGTGAAAGGCCAGCCTGCACAGATGGGCTGGGTATGGGTTTAGGTTCTCCAGAAGCCACAGGAGGGCTGAGCCAGTGCTGCACAGCTTGGTGACAGGCTGAGATTACACAGCCACAGAGCCGTGCTCTCCTTGCCTTGGATGCAGGTGGAAAATCAGCCCAGGTTCCCATGGACATGATGCTGGGCTCACAGCAAATATCCCCAGGCCTGGCTGCTGTGAGGGGACCTTACACAGCCCCATGGTGGGACCAGGGGCTGCCTGTCACTGCTGCCAAGCCCCTGAGCCACCGCCCAGCTCAGGGGGAGCTCCTAGAGCATCTCATGCTCCGCACCCCAAAACGCTGCTGCGACACAGGGAAGGGACAGCAAAGGAGGGCTGTGTGGGAGCCTGGGGACAGCGAGGAGGACTCACTCCACATTCTTGAGGGAGACCTTCTGGCTGGGGCGGGTGGCTGAGACGGTGATGTAGATGTGGAGGGCAGCCAGCCCCAGCAGCATCTCTGGCTTGGGGTCTGTGCCGAAGCGCTCTCTGATCACATCGTTGCGGCTCTGTGGGAGGAGAAGAGGTGTCCTCAGGCAGCCACAGGGACAGGGCACTGCCACCTGAGCGCTGCTGCCACAGGGCCCAGCCTTGGCAGACGTGTGGGTCATGAGCAGCACCAGCTCCCAGCCCCTACCTGGATGTACAGGTACTCGAAAGCTGCAGGGTCCCGGCGCAGCAGCTCCACTGGGTCCTTGGGGAAGAAGCTCACACGGAAGAGGCATCTCATGCCATGGTAGTGTGTTCTTTGCACAACCTGTGGCAGGAGCAGAGGGGAGAGGTGAGCCCAGGAACCACTGGCTGCAGGGCATGAGATGCCCTCTCCTCTCTTCTGACATGGTATTTGATTTCTCTCCTCCATGCACCACCTTTCATCCCGGCAACACCTCAGCCTTCCTTGGTGTGACAGCTTTGCCTGGTGCTGTAGGGTTTACACCACTCAAGGTAATGTTTGCTCCATGATCCCCATTTTATCCCAGGTTCTGAGCTTATTGGCTCTCCCAGCCAAGGATGCTCACGAGTGCTGTCTGCAGCTGCTCAGGTTGGAACACAGAGCAGCTGTCAGTGTGGGATGGGTAAAACCCATCTTTGGGTAAAACTGTCTCCCTCTTTGGCCACCCTTTTCACCCCTGAGCCTGCAGGACCATGCCAGGGGCAAGGAGAGGCTGTGCCACCCCACAGCACAATCCCAGCCAAGCCCCACACTGGGGGAACAGGAGGCTCTCTGTGCCCAGCCCCAGCCATCCCAACACCCTCCCACACCCAGCAGCTTACGTGGGCCAGTGGCTGCTTGTCCTGGAGCAGCAGGAAGCGGTGGCTCTGCTCCGGGCTGGAATACTCCAGGACCAGGGCAAAGTGCTCGATGTGTCTCAGCGACAGGCGGTCCTGCAATGTCACCATCACGTCCTGCAAATGCCACGGACAGCCTTGGGTGCGAGGCACTGGCTACTTCCCAGGAGGGGGCTGGGACCTCACGGAGAGCCCACTCATCCCTGGCAACCGGGGCTGTGCCAGGATGAGGCTGAGAGGGGCCACAGGATGGTGGCCAGCGACATTGCAGCAGGAGGTGATCGCAGCACCTGGTGGTGCTGAGGGAGCTGGTCCCTGGCAGGGGGACTCAGGAGCATCCACCCTGGCTGCAGGGCAGGCTCCCAGCAAGCAGAGAAGTCAGGAGAGGCAGAGAGCCAGCAAACCCCCATCCCTGCCAGCTGCAAAGCCTGCTCTGGGCTTTGATGGAGGCAGACGAGCCATCCATCATGCCAGCGCGGCTCGCAGCCAGCCCAGCGCTGCTGCGGTGCTCGTGCACGGGAAGCAGGAGAGGAAAAGGATTGGGCAGGTGGGAGGAGAGGAGTGCCACGGTGCTGGGGGGGGAGCGGAGGGGCTCACCTTCACAGTGGTTCGGCCATCGAACGTGAAGGATTTGATCTGCCCGTTCTCCAGGAAAACCTTCAGCACGTTGGGAATGAGGAGGAGAGCTTCTTTCTTCAACATGTCCTGGCATGTGGGGCCGGCAAAGGGGGAGGCGAGGAGGGTGGGGGGCACGGAGAGAGGGTGGGGAGAGAGAGACAGACTGTCAGTGATGGAGCACTCGTGGCATCCTCTGCTGCTCTGGGCTTTTGTGCTAAGAGACACATTTCCCCTGAAAACCCAGCGTTCTGTTGAGCCATCAAGAAGCACAGAGCTGAGGCAATTCAGAGCTGCCTGACAGATTCAGCTCCTCAGCTCCCAGCAGCTGCAGTGGGAACAGAGCATCTTGCTCTGTCCAGCACATCCCAGTGCCCATGCCTGGCAGCCTGTCCCGCTCCCCAGCTGGTGTCCAGGTGGGGCTGGGGTGGCTCAGAGCTGATCCCCCTTTCCTGACCCTTACCCCAACCCTAGCCCCCCTCAGCCCTGCACACCCCTTCTGCAGGAAGTTGGGAGAAGACTGATTTTATTTGCTGAGAAGCATTTCAATCAGATAATTACCTAATTGATTTTGCTTAAAAATAGAACGTGTGAGAAGTGCTTTACAGGGTGGGTTTTTTTTCAGTTTTGTTTTTTTGTTAATAAACCCTTCCTGCAATTAAGAGATAAAAGCACTGGGCTGGAACTCTTCAGCTTCCACAGCCATTCAACAGTGCCCTGGTCACCCTGCCCCACATACAGGCACTCCAAAGCTTTTGGGATCAGGCTGGAAGCCATGGATCTTCCTTAGGGCAGGCACTGGCATTGCCTGGATGCCTCCCCTGGATGCTCAGGGGGACACAGTTGAGACCAGGTTTTTAAGGCCAGTTTTTGGGGCTCCCTCAGAGGGACAGGGGACAGAGGACCACAGGAAGTGCCCCCAGCAGTGACCCAACACACTGACTGTGCCCAAGGGCATCTGTCCCGTGGGGCTCCCCAAGCCAGACAGCTGCTCTCCCAAATCAGGGCAGAGGAGCCCTGTGGGACCCCAACCACCCCACAGCCCATGGGCCTGGGGACACCTCCAGGGGGTGAACCACAGAGGAAGGCAGGGCAGGACTTACTGGGTCTGTCTCACCGACTGTCACCTGCTCTGAAAATCGGACTTTGGCTGGGTTGGACCTCAGCTTCGCCTTCTTGGCTGCACTGATGAAAGCAGATTTGGGAGACTGGAAAGAGAGCACTGGGTAAGTCACCTGCCTGCCCCTGGAGCACAGCGTGGGGAAAAGCAGACACAGGGCCCAGAGGAAACCCCTCTGGAGCCAGCGTGATGATGGGGAGTGGGCAGCAAACCATGAAATGGGGAGGGTGGAAAGCAAACCCCCTCGGCTGTGGTTACACAGCGCTGCAGGCAGGGCCAGAACAATGAGCAGCAGCCCCTGAAGTCACACCAGCAGCATCAGTGTGGCTGGGAGGCTGCACTCCAGTGAGCCCCTGTGCCTGGCACCCCTTGTGCAGGCAGCAGATGTCAGTCAGGTCTTGCTTGGAGGCACTGGCACTCAGATGGGAGAGATGAACCCCTTGGATGTGGGTCTGCAGCCCCAGGGAGACAGCAGGAGCCCGGGCATCCCTGCAGGATGTTCTGGTGGCAGTGCCTGCACATACTCCAGCCCAGAGACGCAGAGCTGTGTGTGTCTGATGGTGCCAGCACCAGCTGAGCAGCCTGAACCAGCTGGTGGCCATCCCGGGCCAGGAAGAAAAAAGCTTTTTTGGAGAGTGGCACACGCCCCCGCTCCTGACAGAGCAGCGCTGGGTGGGGGCATCTCCTTCCCCGGGAGCACAGGGGAGCTCTCACACTTCTTCCCCAGCATCAAAGACTCGGTGAAGCACAAGCGGTGCCTCTGGTGTGACAGTTCAGTCTGCCCCAGTGCCACAGGCACCGAGCCCCAGGGCACCACGGCTGCTGCTGCATCTCCAGCCCTTCTGCAGCCTCCCAGCTCCCCAGAGACTCCTGAGACAGCAGCGACCCCTCCCTGCCATCTCTCCTTGGGTTACTCCATCAGACACACGTGGTGACCTCAGCAACTGTTTGGGTTTGGGAGTATTTTTCCTCTCTCCCTCCTGGTGAAAAGGGGGAAAGGCTGCATGCCCAAGGAGCCGTGGCAGCTCTCAGACTGGACAGCTTGGAAGAGCCCTGGGGTGGTGGGACGTGGGTCCAACAAATCAGTTGAGCTGCCTGAGTGATCTCCCAGGGTCTCCAGGGACCCCACCTCGGTCTCCAGAAGGGCTTTTCACCCGTCCTGGCTCCCCTGGAGCTGGCCATGGCCCTGCCAGTCTCACCTGGTGGGTGTGCAGGACCGTGAGGATGATGAAGTCCTTGGCCTTCCTGTGACAGAAAGAAGAAATGAAGATGGATGGAACTTTATGGTGATGGACCTCAACATGTGCAACTGGCTACTGAGAGCACACCCCACCATTCCCAGCCCAGTGGTGGCCGGGACCTTTCTGGGCTCCTTGGGGTGCTTGACATCACGGCTGTGGATACTTCCCCACTTCTTGGCCAGCTGGAAATGGCTATGGCACTCGCTCCAAGGCACTCCCCCTGCTCAGGCTGAGAATTCCCCACCCCAGCAGGGAGCACTGGTGATGTGGGTGTGCACTGACACCCCAAGGCTTTGGCACGGGCACAGCAGCCTGGCATGAGCCCCTCCCCAGAGGCGATGAGGGACAAGCGTTGTCCTCACCTGACAAGCTCGATGAATCTCTCTCTGGGGGCTTCACTCACATCCTCATCGTTGATGGCCAAGATCTGGTCTCCTGGCAGGAGTTTATCCTCAGAGGGGCCGCCTGCCAGGAGAGAGGGTCAGGCCCAACCCAGGCATCCCGGAGCTGCGGGGTGAAGGGGAAGCAGGAGGGTCCCAAGCATCCCCAAAGCATCAAAGCATCAAAGCATCCACGTATGTGGCTGTGGAGGGCAGCCTGCAGGCCCACCAGAGGGGACAGGAGAGGACAGGAGACCAGGGAGGGGTCCCACCAGGGGGAAGTGCCGCTGTGTTTCCTGGCACGCTGCAGCTGTGTCCAGCACCACCCCAGCCCCCTACCTGCTGCCACCGAGCGCACCACCACTGGCCTCTCGCTGCCAGCCACAAAGCCGAATCCGTAGAGGGGGTGGCGCTGGACCGTCACCTGTCGGAGCGTGTCCGAAGGCAGCTGCCCACATTCCATATCATCGCCACCGCGCTCCTCCGGCATCACATGGCTGCGCTGCAATCACAGGGACAGGCTGTAGCGCGCCCCACCACGCAGCCCTGCCCAGCACTCCCAGCCCTCTGAGGCCTGCAGGGCAGCCCCACTGCACCTGCAGCGCTCCCAGAGCCCTCCTGGCACGGCCACAGCCCCGTCCTCCCGTGCAGAGCAGCGCCTGTCCCTGCCACCAGCAGCTCAGGCACGGGGACATCCATGGAGATGCCACACGAGGGTAAATCCACCCTCCCCCAGCACCTCACTGTCCCACCCCTGCCCCAGCACTGCCCTTAATCAGATGGGAGATCTGTGCAGGGTAAACTTGTGGTGGTGTGGCTCTGGCCATTCCCTGCGGGTCAGGGGAGACAGCGGCCCTGGCACAGCTCTCTCTGCCATTCTGCAGAGCTGTAAGAGCAAACTCAAGGGTTGGCTTATTCATGCTGTGTAACACAGCTCAACAGTATCAGAGATAAGTGAAAACAAGTTTAGCCAGTCTAAAAACTGGGATTAAGGCAGGCTCAGTGTGCTATTACAACCAAATCTCCACCATCAGCCCAGGGACTCCTTGGAGTGGAGACAACCAGAAGATGGGAAGATCCAGCCCAGGGCAAGGTCGTGTCAAAGCTGCCCTTGGCATCCTGGAGCAATGCCAGTCATGGCTCCAGGCTGTGAGCCTGCTGTGGGGGAGCAAACCCAGCACCAAGGGATGGCCACAGAGCACAGCACAGATGGCAACACGCACAGCCCAGCCAGAAAAACAAAGTGGTGAACGTGCTGTTGCTTCTGTGCTGCTCATTGCTTGTTCCTGTCCAGACTATTTAGTCTATTTAAAAGAGATCCTTCCCGGCCTTTTGACAACACACCAATTGTTCCATCTCTTATCAGTTTAGGATTCCATGCATCATCCAGTTTAGGATTCCATGCATCATCCATCTAATGCTATCTGTCTGCATTTCTGACACCCCCACCTGCTCCCAGCGCCGCGTTGGGCACCTGCTGCAGAGCCCAGGGGGACAGCACGTGGGGCTGGAGGGGACAGGAGCTTCTGGCAGCTCCACACCAAGCACACAGAGCTTGGGGCTTCACTGCCAGCAAAGACAGCCCTGTGCCAAGCCTGATCCCAGGTAACCACCCAAAATCCTCTAAAGGAGTCTGCCATGGGAGTCAGGAGAGCTCTGAGCAGCAGGTGAGTCTGCCCAGGGTCAGGGATACAGCGCTGGCCATGGGTGAGCTGCGCTCTGTGATGATGGGATGTCACCACAGCCAGGTGACCTTTCCCAGCGCCCAGCTGCATGGGTGCTCCCGGCTTTCCCCTCCCGCATGCAGCGGCACGTGGCTGGAGAAGGAAACAGAGAGGCCCGGGGAAGGGAACTGGGGAGCAGCAGGGTCTGGGCACCCCCTGAGCAGTGCCGCACCCATCGGCGTTCCCAGCAGGAGCAGAGCCAGCTCCATCACCAGGAGAGTGCGGCTGCAGGGAAGTACAGGCGAGAGCATCTCCCTCCCCAGCGAATGTCTCTGCGCCGCCACATTAGCTGCTCTGCTACTCCCATGAGCATTCCAAAGAACAACAGTAGCAACCACAACAAAAAGGATCACGCGATCCTACCAATTTTCTCAGACAAACGCTACCCAAGGCCATTGTGTGCAGCTGAAAAGGCGGCTGAATGCAGCACTGCGTCTCCACATGGCCGGCATGGCCAGGGAGAACGCCAGGGACGGAGCTGGCTGCCACAAGACAGCAGCCACCGAGCTGCTGGCTTCCCAGGGGACACTCCTCCTGTCACCCCACCCTGCTGCCCTCAGCAATTCCAGCTCCCCCATCCACAAGCCCCCGCAGCAGATGAACACGAGGATGAGCAGCTCGAAGCACCGGGATGTCCCGCAGGTGTGGCCGAGCTCAGTGCGATGGCTCCGGGGAAACTGAGGCAGGGCTTTGCTCACCAAGTCACGGCCAAGTGGATGGCGAGTCCCAGAGCACAGCTACCCACTTGTGGCCCCAGGTCGGCCCTTCTGTGTGCAATCGGGGTGTCGGTGTCACCCTCGCTGCTCGCCACGGGAGCCGCGGCTGAGCCACAGCCGGGGACCGCCCGGGGACAGCGGCGTCTCCCGCAGCCGAAATTACCGTCAGGACTGGTCAGCCGGGAAATCTTTGCAGCTTTAACAGACAAAAGGAAAAGAAAGCACACCTCACTTCAGCCACAACCAGCCTGCCATCCGGCGTCAAAGGGAAGAGGGGGATAAAGAGGTGGATACCGACAATAAAAACTCCTTTACCGGCCTCTTAAGCTGCTCCTCTCCTGATAAGACTTGGACGCTGCAGAAGCATTACCAGGAAATTAAATAAAAGAGGACGAGCGTCCTCGTAAGCAGGACTTATCCGCTCCTGGAGAAGCAGTAATATGCTCAGCAGCAGGTACAACATGCCTTTTCCAGGCTCTGAGCATCCTTCCTGCCGCAGCTCTCCCATGCTGGGTTTGGGGATTAATGTGTGCTCACTCTGGACCAGAGCAAGAGGTCAGAGAAAACCAGCTGCAGTGGGTAGGGTAGCTCTCTCCCTAACACTGGTAATTGGCTGAACCCCAGGAGCTATCACTTCCCTGAAGCCTGTTTTTTTTTTGTGTTTCTTCTTTTTTAATTTCTGGGCAGAGCGCTGCACTGGGCTGGAAAGCTCACGGCCTGGTTCTCGCAGCAGGGAGCTGAGGATTTGAAACAATCCCTGGTGCCCTCAGCAGCACAAACCCAGCCTCACCCTGGGGCCACACTGCTTGGGGAACACCTGCCACCACCTTGGTGGGCACAGACCAGCACTGACCCCATCCCTCTGCAGGGAGCAGATGGCTGCTTATGTCCATGTCCCCACCCTGCCTGTGTCCCGTCCTGCCTGCTGCACACCTTTAGCCCAAGAGCCTGCTCTGCATCCCCTTGTGTCCTCAGGGACCGCTGTGGCACAATGCCACCCAGGCACAGAGTCATTAGAAAACAGCACAAAGTAAAAGGACTTATCAGGAGAAACCTCTCGGTGCCCAGCAGCATCAGGAGCCCACCACAGATGTACCCCTGTGGGAGCACCTGGCTCTTCAGGGTGTCCCGGCTGACGTGGCATGAAGATATCCCACTCCTGAGGCTGGGACACTCATCTGCTGTGCTCAGAGCTGACACTGATCTGGTCACACTCTGCCACCCAAGGTAAGAGAGATATCAGCTCGGTCCAGTCACTGCCCATCACGATACACCCACTGCCAAGGGAAGTGCCTTCAGCTTCCTGAGCATCCTCAGACCTCCCTGCCACGGAACAGGGCTGAGCACAGAGCCCTCATCCCCCCCAAACAGATCAAGGCAGAACAGGAGCTACTCCAAAAGCTGATGCATACATTTTTAATTTCCTACCGCAATAAATCTCTGCTCCCTCTGAGGACTGATTTTCTGCCTTTGCTCTTAATGCTGACTGGCCATCTGCCACCAAAACAAACCAGTACCACCTGCCTGGGAGGAATGATGGTCTCCATCCACCCAGGACACTCACACCATTTCCAAGTGCCTTTAAACAGGATGGCACCAGGTGAAAACACTTTGTGCAACCCAAGAAGGGCTCACAGCTCGGCTCCATGGTGGCGAGTGGGTATGGGAAGGTCTTCTCTTCTCCCCTTTGCTGAGGGCCAGTTTGCAGGAGTGGTGCCAACTCTCCTCCCCCTTCCTCTGCTGCCATGAAGAACCCAAGAACAAACAGAGCTTGTGGATTCCTGCCTCTCCTACTGCAAAGCCATGCCCGGCTCCTCCATCTGCCAGGCTGCAGTTGGTGAGCGGCTTGCGAGGCATGTGGGATCCTGAGCACGTGTGGCAGCGGCAGGAAACGCCGGGGAACGGGCCAAGAAGTGTTTTTATGGAGAACATATGGCAGCTCCAGCCTCACACCCCGGTCTCCATCTCAGATGGAGCTGTGGGGCTGCCAGGGCGCGTGGGGACCAACAGCGGGCACAAAAGCAGAGCAGGCAGAGCTGGCTGGCACAGCATCCACAGAGATGTGCATCTCTGCTCCATCAGCCCTGCATCTGCACCCAGCGGGCATCTGGGCACCTTGGAAGATGCCATTTGGCCCACATTTAGGTGTCAGACACCCCCAGCATGGGCAAACAGATGCTGTCCTTCCAGAGCTGCTTGGTCACAGGGACCCTGGTAGCCTGGTGCCACTGCCCCTGCTTTGGCAGTGTCCAACAGCTGACTGCAGCGAGCAGAGCTGGCCTGAGGGGTGCCAACCAGCACTAAGGGCAGCAGAATAACCCTGGCCTTCACGGGTCATGTCCTTCATGGACCCAGCCTGGAGAATGCAGCCTGCATATGGCCCTGCCATATGGCCCACGAATTTACCCCCCATGCTCCAGCTTGGATTTGCTGCCAATATTGGGAAGCAGTTTAAAACCTGCAGAGCTCCTCAAAGGGGTTAGCTCTGCCGCTGGCTCTGTCCTGAGCTGGCAGGCGAGCCGGGTACGCTGCTGGTACAAAGGTGGGGTGCCAGATGGCACCGGTTTGAGGGCACAAACACCCCTGGCCCTCAGTGCAGGGACAAGCAGACAGTGAGCAGTGGCCAGCAGAGCTGCTGGAGAAGCTCATGAGCAGCCAAAGGCAGCTGTAAATAACGGAGCAGCAGCCGCAGCCTGGCTCTGGGCAGCAGCTGCAGCCTTCTGCTGCTCAGCCTGCAGCTTTTTAAATGGTCCTGGCATCTCACCTAGAGATAAGCACAGGCAGAGGGGCCAGGCGGGCTGGGGGCTAGCTGGAAATCCTAGGACCTGTTGTATCCTGGGAGCAGCAGAGATGGACTTATTGCCCCCTGGCAAGGAGTGGAGCCAGCTGAATGAGGTGCTGGGGGCAAGAGTGGCCCAAACATTCTCAAAGTAATGATGCCAATTACAAAAAATAGAGTATAACCATAGCTCTAGCAAAGACCCTGTGTGTTACCACAACCCCCAGCCATGCTCAGGTCACCAGAAAAAACAACTTCTGCACAGGGAGAGGCT